AATATGCGTTTTTGCTGCCTGTTGCAGCGCTCTAGCGCTGCACGGCAAAAACGCATAAAAACAGTTGATTTTCTTAATTGATTTTCTGATTTTCTTAATCATAATTCTTCAGAGGGAAAACTTCTTTTAATGTTAATGATATGTAAATGTCCCTTATCGTTTGTTTGTTTTATGCCTTCTTTCTTTTCATTTGTATGAAGCTTTGTGTGTCACCTGAATATCACATCATGGCAATTCAAATGGCCTGAGCTCGCTTGTTGCTGTCTTCCTCTAATTTAACTAATTGACCCAAAAACGAGAACTCTTAATACTTCTTGACGTGCCTTCTAGATCCCAAACCTCGTAATTTCTTTTATTTACTTGTAAATCTATCTTGTATTTAACGCATTGTGTCATTGCATACCAGCTTTCTAGACGAAAGGAGTTTTGACGTTGATGGAAAGGAAAATTGAGAGTCGGTTGGGAAAGGGGCAAGCGAGTTTTTACGTAGAATCGTCATTGCTATAGAGACTCGTAAAGTTGAGATGCACTGAATAAATGGATGGTTGTTTTCTCAGTGTATGGCAAATTTTCATACATTTCGAAACGTTTGTTACAGGGGCTTCAGTATACTGTTGGAAGTGTTCAAAATGAACAAGAAGATGAAGCCACCGATGAAGAACATCATCGAAAGACGATTTTTTTCGATGCGAAAATGTCCAGGTAAAATACTGAGTATCGAATATAAACTCAAAAAGGATCAGTGCATACTGTTAGTGCGTAAGTCTTTGCCAGGCCTTTGGGCTAATGCTCTTTCACTGTAGTCTCAGCGGTATTTTTTGTTTGCATCCAAGGATTTTTTTACTTTTTACATCTAAAAATGTTTGCCTTTTTTTCTCACAATACTGACGTCCAGGAGAATGCTGCATACGATTTTTTTGAAACCTTTTGTTGAAAAGTGTTATTTATAGAGGGATTTTCACTCCTGCTATAAAAAGTAGTTTTGGCTCGCTAACACGCTTCAGTACCAATTTACCATCGAAACGAATATATCGAAGCTATCCCTGATAGCATTATGAAAGGAGCTGAATAAATTTAAGAAAATTAAATAATGGAACTGCAAGAAAACAGTAGTACCATGAGAATTTTTTACTTTTTTGAGAAGAGGAATTATTCGATAAACATATATTTATCGGTTCAAAATACTTCCGTTTTGTTTTATTGATATTAGTAGGTCAGCACCACTCATCAAG